AAAAAAACTTGAAATTCCTCTAGCACATCGGCACAGGCTTTCTTTTTTTTTTTTTTTTTGAAAAACCCCGTGCCGATGTGCTAGAGGAGGTGATACGAGCATCCCCCTCTAGCAGCACCTGCTGAAGGTAAGCTGCTCAATATATATGTATGCCTGACAAAGTGGAAAGATGAGACCCAGAGAGCAAACGGACACTTGGCTTAACAATTTTTTTCTTCCTTCTTTTTTCTTTCTTTCTCTTTTCTTTTCTTTCTCTCTTCACCACGCCTACACACACACACACACACACACACAAACAGACACTTGTGCTGTGCGTGCACACGCACAGGGCAAAACATGCACACTCGAACGCACGCACAGACACACAGAGGGATTGAAGAAGAAGCACTTCAGACAAAAAAAGTGCTTTCCCAAAAAAATTACTAAAAATTTCAAAAAAAAAAAAAGTTTCCAACCTTTCCAAAAAAGACATTAAAAAAAAAAAAAAAAAATGAACGGAACGCACATCGATTGCAACTCCGTTGGTAGAGGAATTGTGAATTTGGGAATTTAAAATTCTTTTTTTTTTGTGAACACAAGCGAATGGTCCGTTTACACTATATAATTCGAGCGTACCCTTTTTTTTTTTTCTTTTTTTTTTTTTCCTTCTCTCAAATCTCTCAGATTTACCATTTTTCCCTTTTCGAAATCATTTTGAAACAATCGGTTCATTCGGCTCTAATAAATACCATCCAAGCAAAGTAGAAAAGATTGGGAGGAAAAAAAAAAAAAAAGACTGGAAAGCCTTCCCAGAGAAGATGATAGCCCTGTATATTTCGGGGACGGACGGGGAGATTTCGGAGATGCTTACGTCCTACCGAAGCACAAGGATCTGAGCCGTTATCGACCTATCTGTCCGACATATTCCGAGCCTACGATCAAGGCGGGGAAGAACATGTCGAAGGCTCTGAACCACATGCTGTTGACACTGCCAGTTGATTGGCACTTCAACCTGAGATCCGTTACATCGGTAGCTCCAAGAATCGAAGTCTTCAACCGCAGGGTGGAACGCCGGAACAATGGGAAGTGCGAACTTGTCTCGATGTCGTATGACATCAAAGACATGTTCAGCAGGTTACCTCACGAGGAGATCGTTAAGTCAGTGGATTGGATAGTCAACTACCATCTGAGTAAGGGCAGGAAGTATGTGAGAGTAAATCCGAGGGGAAAAGGAAGTAGCTACGGGCACACAACTGGTGACGATCACTGGAAGAAGATAGACCTGAAGCAGATTGCCGAATTCGTGAGATTCGAACTAAGGCACACATACACGAGAGCGACAGGAGTGCTCCTGAGACAACTGGTGGGCATTCCAATGGGGAAAGGGACCAGCCCACCTCTGGCATGCATAATGTGTGCATATGCAGAGTACAGATTTCTGAGGGGCATGGGGAATCTTCGACGGAACATCTTCGGTCTAAGACTCATGGATGATGTGAGCCTGATCATCCTGTCGAAAAAAGGCAAGGAGGAGAATGTTGGAAGGATCAGGGAAACATTCGAGAAATGTTACCCAGAAAACTTGACATTGAAGAGAACAGATGAAGCTGGGAACTCATGGAATTTTCTGGGTATGGAGATGAGGATCAGCAATCACCCTCCTTATGTCGGTAGCATACAGAGATCGAAGAACGAAGAAGGCATCTGGGATGGCGAGAGGCTTGAATTCAAGAACGGACAAGTCTACAGCTCTTGGGGGTGTAAGCAACAAAAGAGTGCGGTGGTAGCAAGCTACCTTCACCGCATCGATAGGAATACAACAATATGGGAGGAGATCCCGATGCAAGTGCTAACCCTCAAGCGAGAACTCCGGATTAAGGAGTTTCCCAAGAAATTCTTGGCGAGAGTGCTGAGAAGTTTCGCAAAGGGTAGAGATCCGATCTGGGAGTACACTTACAGATGGCTGTACGATTAATTGTTTTTCTGTTTGCTTGTGGACTCGGTTGAGGGAAGTTGATGTGCATATTAGAGTAGATGAACTCCCAAATACAGGGAAATCTGGTTGATGTTGATTGTAATACTGAGATTTTAGAGAGTGTATGCTGGTTTCTCGTTTTTTTCGTCTTTCCGAGTATAACGGGCTTTTTCGGTCTGGAAATATAGCGATAGGGCATTAGGCTTAAGAAGGGGTGCTGAAGGTAAATGAGGATAGGGTTTGCGGTGATTTTTGTTTTTGTTTTTTGTTTTGAATAGCTGTGGATGGTCGAGCTGAGCCTTGAACCGAAGACTTCATGGTAAGTGAGGACAGGGCGTAGCTGTGATGTTTGCCGATTCTAATAGCTGTAGATGGTCGAGCTGAGCCTCGAACCGATGACTTGTGGACGACACTCTATTTCCTGGTTTCAACTATTGTTGCTTGGGAGTCGCACAGGTGTTTTTCTGGTACCGTCGGGAGCAAGAGGCCGCTTTGGGCCTCGAACCAACGAAGCGAAAGTGATGTTAGGATTCTAGTTCTACACGTTACACCGGTTTGGACTTCGAACCAGTTACTTGCAGATTGTCGGGATTCAGGGGCTTCAGACTAGAGGAAGTACGTAGGATAGTCTAGATTCTGAATTAGCAACACACGGACGAATAATGACACCTATTTGAGCATTGATTGCGTGAGCCAGTGTCTTTTCCGGGTCCTACGCTGTCGGACTGCTGGGTGTTTCCGGAGATGGTCAGCGGACGACAGTGAAGGTGGGTAGGTGGAACGTCGGTAATGTCGAGGGAGACGCGAGGTGGAATCCCCCCTGAGGATGACCGCGTGGCGGTGGTCGAAACCGGTCGGGGTAGCCATTACCCGCCGGCGCATAGCAATCACTGAAGTACTAAGGGTACTGAGTACCGTTGTCGGATGGCAAAATATTTTGATATTTTACTTGAATGACGATATTGTCGTACTGGGTAATACTTTCTCATATTTTGCTTGAATGATAATGCTTACTCGAATCAATGACATCTCCAGTCCATTCATATTACCAAAAAGAGATCTTCGAGGCCGGAGACCTGTCCAATTGTTTTCATTTCAAGAAGCAAAAAAAAAAAGAAAAAAAAAAAGGTGCACGTACCCTCTCAGCGTCTCCTCGTCAGAGAACGGCTGACTGCTGACACCAGACTCTGCATCTACCGCTGCAGTTGGGACGCGGGCCATGTTGAGATCCCGACAAAGTCACCAAACAAGATAAGACAAGGCAAGACAAGTCAAGAAGCACGTCAACGGAAAAGAAAAAGGGAAAAAAAAAAAGAAAAAGAAAAAGAAAAAGAAGAAGAAGCACGTCAACGGCGGGAGCATATGATGATGTAAGCGACGCTGGGCCCATTTCCCAGCTTATAATTGAATGAAGGTAAAAAAGAAAACAAGAAAAAAAAAGAAAGGAGAGAGAAAAAAGAAAAAGAAGTTCAAAAAAAAAAAAGAAAAAAAAGAAAGAAGAAGAAGAAGAAGAAGAAGCATGTCAATTACAAAAAAAATCTCAGACTACTTGGCTTGCCCAGCCATTCGACCCGAAAAAATCTCAGGCTACTTGGATTGCCCGGCCATTCGACCCGGGCAAGTCGCCCGGGGGTCACCTGCCCGAAGGGAAAAATCAACCCTTTCTAGAGCAAAAATCAGCCCTTTTTTTTCTCTTCTTGTTTGTGTGTGGGGGGACGGTTTTCGGCACCTGTGCAGAGGAGCCCAAGTCCAGGCTCCTTTTTCTTTTCGAGTGTTGCCTGTCAAAGGGAGGGGGGGGGGGGCGTATAAATTGGCTTTTAAGGGGCTAAAGGGGATTGAAGGAGGGGGGGGGGCCTTACTCGTCTATTCTGTGAGGAATTCGGATGTGATCCTCAGCCAGAAGTCGTTTGCATTGCAATTTTAGTATTTTACAGATCTGGATTTTATTTTATTTTTTATTTTGAGAGGGAGGAGGGGGGGGAAGCGGACGCAGGGGCTGGCCGGAACCCTGCCGGGGGTTCATTCCCGGCCAGGCACCCAGGGCGAGGTCACACTAGCAAAGAGGATTGGATTAAGCTCCTGAATCTGGACGTGTTTTAAGTCGAGATGCAGAAAAGCAGTTCACTCTCGACTTTCTGCACCTTTCCACATCCAAGTCCAGATTCAGTGTTCAATCCAATCCTCTTTGCTAGTGGGACCTCGCCCCCGGACATGTATCCGGCATACAAGTTGGGTGCCCGGGCGCCCTTACAAACAGCCCATAAAAGAAACAAAAAAAAACAAACAAAAAAAAAAGAAAGAAAGAAAGAAAAAGAAGAAGAGGAAGAAGAGGCCCAATAATAATTTGCAGGAGACTATGGGCCTGGCTCCATTTCTCACCAAATGTGCAAAATGAGAATGAATCTTCCCCTAGAACGTGGAAAGATACACCGACATATTTTTTGTCGTTTGTGCATGTGATCCGTGGTGGAGCGGAGCGAGGTACCACTAACAGAAAATGCATTGGATTTAACGCCTGAATGTGGACGTCTTTCGAGGAGAGGTGCATGAAAAATCGCAATTGGAATGATACCCTTTGGAGATCAATGAACAGATGGTTCACAACTGAAAAAGAAATCGAAAGAGACCAGGAGCGGAGCAAGGTAGGTAGCACTAGCAAAAAGTGGATTGGATTTAACGCCTGAATGTGGACGTCTTTCGGGGAGAGGTGCAGAAAATCGCAATTGATCTGCTTTAAATTTCTGCATCTCGACCTGAATCCGATCCACATTCAGGCTCTTAATCCAATCGTCTTTT